TTGAATTCTTCCCTTCTTTTGCATACATTTATTACAAAACAAAATCGATCGATCGTGTCTGTGTGTGTGATTCGTTGCTGTCATTTTGAGTTCGTTGAAATTATCGAAGTTTGAGGTACCGCTACTTCTCTAAAGGTTAATCTGCTTTATCTTAGGAGGAATTAATCTGCAACTTCGGGTACTTGAGGGGATTAAATTTCTTAAGGACACACAGTGAGTTCTGTAGACTCGGATAGTTCTTTTTTTTTCTTTTCATCTTTTATTATTTCTGGTTTGCTAATCTGAATGCAGGAGATAACAAATAGAGTGTTGGGGGCTCCACCAAAACCATCAATTGAAGTAGCTCTTATATGACGCTTCTAAATGGTAATGGCTGAAAATGAGATATAAGTATTGGTTAAAATGATAAATATAAGGTAAGAACGTAGCTATTATACTTTTTAAATGAAAACAAATACTCACTCAGATGCCATGAGTGATAGAAGTCAATTTTACTTCTAACTTAAATGTTTCTTCAGAAAATACATTTAAGCAAAAAACACTGAAAAATATTTTTTTCAGGAAAGCATTGCCCTCTATACTAAACAAGTAGGGTATGATTTTATTATACCTTGTCTTTATTCAAGAAAGAAAAATATTTAAATAGGTAAAATAATATTATTTGTATCATAAACAAGTCCACTAGAAAATAGAGATACTATATAAAGCACCTACCAAAAGAGTAAGTGTTTCTCTATAAATTTAGTCTTTTATGTAAGAAAAATATTTTCTTGTACCTCCTCCTTGTTATATCTGAAAAGAAAAATTCCCATACAATTGAAGGATTTTTTTTTAATGGCAACTCCCTTTTTTGGCATGATAAAGGCAATTGATGTCTTGTTGGTTGATTCGGACCAAGAGTTCATTACAAATATCACTGATTTGCTGAAGTCTTATGATTACAATGGTAACATCTCTAAAAATTATGTTTAGAACTTGCAATCTTGGATTTTTTTATATAACTAAACTCTGTATGATTTCAATTTATATGAGATTTAACTGATAAGAAGTTTTTTTAATCTCATTTGTATTTTAACATCGATTTTTTTTTTATTTCATTCATACATCTTGTGAATCTTAGATTTCAATATTCCTTGTTGTCCTTGCACTATTTCTATGCCCATATATGATTTTTTACTAATTGATAAATGAGTTTTGTGTTGTTATAAAGAATCAAATTAGATTTTCTATTTTTAGTTCTTGTTATAAGATTGTCACATACTCAATTAGTTTTCTCCATAAAGATATCTATGATTTTCAAAAGAGTTTGCTAATTTCATATCAATATTTGCATTGTTGCAATTTTATTGGATGTCCCGTGAGGCACACAATTTATGGTGATTTTAATTATTTAATCAATTTTAACTTTGAGTTTTAGACTTGATTTTTTTCTGGAAAAGGGGGAAAAGTTTCCTTGTCAATTGGTCTGGAGTGACATAGAGCTGGGGCAGAAATTAATTAAATTCCACAAATTAATTTTTCAAGGTGTAAGTCTTTGATTTTTACCAATCTATCTCTAAATGTCTTAAAATTGATTTTTTGGGTGGTGGAAGCATAAGATTAGGGTAACCGGAGGAAAGAGAAAGAGAAGGACAAGATAAAAACTTATCTATCTATGAATATTTTTTACCTTGAGACTTTTTTTTGTCTATTCTTGGACATAGAATAAATATATTGGGGAGATTTGATTTTCATAAAATAAAAAAACATCTTATTTTTGTTTGTTTAATTAAAAAAAATTCTCTTAATTTCAAAGACTTTTTCCTTTTGTAATTCAACAAAACAAATTAGCATTTTTTTATAAAAAAAATACTATTGCTTTTGGAATTCTCTTAGAGGTTTATTCAATTACCTCCTCTACTTAAATTAGTGAAGACAATACACATTTTTCAAAATATTTGAATAAAATAAGCAATTGCTACAATTATTCTACGTGAAAACTACCTTAAAACGATGATTCTTTTGAACTATTTCACCCTGAAAAGGGGTATATAACTGACAATTTTAGTATCGGATTTCTTTTAGACAATACTACAACAACAAATTCTGTGTAATCCCATTGTTGGAGTCAAGGGAAGTTATTGTACGTGCGCATCTTACCCCTACCTTGAGAAGGCTTAGATATTGTTGTCGATAGATCTTCGATACAAACGAGATGAACAAGACGACAATATCAATAAATAAAAACAACAACTACAAAAGATACAACCGTTGAGACTAAAGAATCAACTAGTAGAAATAGAAATCTAAGATTATGAAAACAGTACCAAAGTAATACTAGTACCCCAGGAAAGAGAAAGTAAAGCACTCGACCACCTACTAAAATCATATGTTAATCCTTGACCTCCACACTCTCTTATCAGGGGTCATGTAGTTAATGAGATAAAGTTGTGTTATGTCCTACCTAATCATCACACCCCAATACTTGATATACCTACCTACCCCTTCTCAAGCCCTTTATGACCAACTTCCCTTACCGGGGTATCCACACATCTTCTCTCTTTACATGTACGAATCATGTCAACCTTACTTCTCGCATTTTGTCATCCATGAGAGTCACTCCGACTTTTGCTTGAATATATTCATTCCTAATATTATCTCTCATGGTACTCCCACTCATCCTTCTTATATTTTCTATAGTCTCATATTTTTGACATGGGAGTTGTTGGCTAGATAACACTCATCGCCATATAACATAGTTGATCTACAAACCACTCTAAAGAACTTACTTTAAGTATTGACGACACATTCTTATCACATTGAACATTAGATGAGAGCCTCTGTTTCATTTACTCCTCCCCAATATGATGTGTGACATCCTGTCATCTACTTTACCTTGAATTACTAACTCAATGTACATGGAAATTTTGATTTTGGGGATAACTACAGTGTTAAGCATCACGTACGCTTCATAGGGCACATCACTAAATTTTTGCTCCAAGTACTTAATTTACATCCTACTCAACATGAAACCTTTTGACTCTAGGATATGTGTCCAAATCCCAGCCTCACATTAATGTCACTTTATGTCTCGTCAATCAATACTATATCATCACAAATAACAAGCATTATGGCACCTCATGAATGTGTCGTGTTAGAAATCTATCACCGATGCAAATAAAAATACACCCTCTTTGTAATCTGTTAAGAACTATTCTACCCCTTCCATTTTAATTTGTTTAACTTATTTTCATTTTTTGTCCTTTTAGAAAAGAATGTCTCTTTCCTTTTTTGACAAATCTTTAATTTGAACTTCCCATATGATACACTTAATACCACAAGATTAAAGCGCATTTTAGTACATTTGACATATCTTTAATTTAAGACCAAGAGATTCAAAAGTCTTATTTACTTTCTTAAACTCCATGCCAAGAGAAAACAAAACAAATAAATAGAAACAAAGGGAGTAATAAGTAATACTTTTTTTACGAAAATGTATTTTGTGTATTGAAACTCAGTTTTCTATATTGATTTATGCCTCTTTTGTTAATTGATTGTCCTTTTGTCATTTATACAATTTAATGCTAAGTATTCTTGAAGTTCGAGTTTTCGATATCAATAATCATTTATTTACTAGATTTCGGCTATTACACTATTTTGTTGTTCCTCATACTCTTTGTTTTAGGCTTTATACTGCTTCTGTTTTTAGTTGTTATGTTGTTTTCATCATTTCTTTTTTCTATATACCTTAAATTGTTGCGTTTGAGAAAATGGTCTTTCAGAAACCTCTGTACGTCCGTTAGGTAGCGATAAGATTTGTGTACACTCTATCCTCTCTAGACTCCAATTATTGAATTTCAAGTATGTTATTATTGTTATTATATCATACATAGCTATGATTTTGAATTCATCTAAACATTAATACATTAATATATTAGACATGCAATTACACATGAATTTCATATAACTTTTTATTATTATCTTAGTATTCTATTGGATTAGTATCTTATAGATGTCAAGACTTAAATTTTATTGCAAGGACAATAGATAAGGCATGAGAATATTATAATTTATTGATATTTAATTTACTCTTTGCTAAATCTTCTAAACCTATTAGTTTCATATTCATGAAATAATAATATCTCAAATCTTTTGATCCTATAATATATGGGTGTCGATAGTTATGTTTATGCAGTATTTGTTTCTGATAAGTCATTTGAACAAACTGAAATCATAAAATTTACAACTGAATTTGTATATGAGACATAAATAAGTCCTCATGATAATTTTGAATACAATTTTCTTTACTTACTTCTCAAGAGCATTGATGCATGCAGTTACAGCGGTTGGTACAACTTCAATAGCAATGTCAATGCTCTCCAAAGGAAAACAAAAAATTGATGTGATGATAATCAATATCCATCCATCAAACATGATTTCTTTTAACCTCTTAACTCAAGCTGTGACATTGGATATCATTTCAATCGGTATGTCTTTTATTCTATTCTTTCACTTATGACATCTATTATGAGTAAAGTCGGTTATTTTAATTACTACATCATAAGAATTTAGATATAAAATGCACCATTATTATTTCATTAAAAATTTCATAGTTAAATGAATGTTCCATTATACATTATTGAATAGGATTAGTAAAGAATTGTGTTTTTTTAGCAATACAAATTGTTGATTACTAATTTTGATTCTTTTAGAATATGATAGATCTATTTTGTAATATTATTGTTATAATGGATAAAATTTAGTTTATATGCTTGAAATTAAGTACTCACATAATGTATAATATAATTCAATTCTAATTGATAGATTTTCAAAATAATCATGCAGTTGTATGTGATGAACATAATGAGCTCATAGCAAAGATGGCTTTGGATGAGGGAGCTTTTCTTTACCTTAAAAAGCCATTTAATGAGGAAATTATGGAATACTTGTGGCAATTTGTATTGAGGGAAAAAAATCAAAGAGAGAAATTGAGAAAAGGATCAGAGAAAAAAAGAGATCATATGAATGGTGATGATATTGGTAAAATTGATATTGTTGGAGAAAATGTAGAACAATCTGGAGAGAAGAAAAATGTAGCAAATGTCGAGGAACAGAAAAATAATACTGATGAAGTTGAAACTGATGTTGAATCAAATGAAAAATACAAGTTGAGGAGAAAGAGAGGTAGAAAAAACACGAAAGAGACTAGGGAAGGAGAAACTCAAAGCAGTGCTACTAATAAGGTTCTTCGGCGAAAGGATTGCAGAGAATGGACAAATGATCTTCATGCCAAATTCGTGAAAACGGTACAACAACTCGGTGAAGGAAGTAAGTTTACTTCACTATTAATTAATTTCTTGACAATTCATTTATATGGAACGATATGAAAAATGAGAATTTATACTTATAGTTAACATCAACTTATTTTACATTAAGCATAGTAATTATTGTATTTATATGTACCTCAGTTGATCTAACAATATTATAGTTATTAAATTTAGTTTATATTCTTATGGAACATGTAGGATGTTACCCAAAGGAGATTCTTGAAGTGATGAAGCATGATGTGCCTGATCTTACCAGGATGCAAGTGGCTAGCTACCTTCAGGTACATCTTTAAAATATATTAAGTGGTAAATTATAATTCATTGAGTGGTTGTTTGGTACACGAAAAGCTCTTTCGCCAAAAAAATAATTTATGAAGTTATTTTTCTCGTATTTGTTTGCTAGAAAATATTTTGCTTGTAAAGATTTTTTATCTTCTAACACTTCTATGAGAAGTTATTTTTCTATAACTATCTAAATTTAAATTTTATATCAAAAGCAAGATAAAAAAATCTAATTTTATTTCACTTCTGTCATTTGTTACATGTTTAGTGATAGAAGCTAATTATTCATTGCTAAGTTCGATTATTTTGTAGATTAATGGAATAATATTACTATCAATCTTTAATTTATAGTATTTCAAAATATTTTTATTCTCCACCAATTACCAAACACCAAAAAAAATTGTAAATAACTTCCATTATTTCAAACACAACTGAATAACAATGAATTTAGATGATAAATACACATGGTCTAACTCTCTTTTTATTTTTTTTCTTTCTTATAACATTACAGAAATGTCGTCGCAAGAATTTGAGATCTCCAGAAGAGAGAAAATATATTTGTTACCCATCCGGTCAAGGATCCTCAAATGATTCTAAGAAAAGAAGTAGTTTTCAAGAATATGGAACAATGCCTCGTCTTCAAACAAATGTACCAATTCTACAACATGAACCTGATCAAACCCAAAGAGGGACATATTTTCCAATTTCAACTCTCAATACCAATAAAAGTTTTTCTAGAGGGGAGAGTTCAACTCAACAACAACTTTATCGCCCACAACTTCAGGTTCAACCCCGCTACCTCAATATTGAAAATCGATTCAATAATTCATTTTTTCCAGCCCAAAGTTATGTTGGTGATAGGCTACAACAACATGAACCATTAGTAGAAATGTTGAATTCACAAGGACTACAAGACTCAATTATTAAGAACACTAGTTATAGTCCTGTCCTAGAGTTTAATAGTGGGGATCATCACAATCAAAGTGATTACAGTTTGGATCTCAATGTGACCCATGGAGAAACATATTCAGGTTGCCGAATAATAATGGGTACAGAAATTGGAAATGCGACAAATAGTGAATATAACTTGAATGTCAATGTAGACAATGTTTCTAATTCTTATGTTGGAAATACGACTGCTAATGAATTGGGAGTAGCAAATGCAAATTTTCAACAATATATTCTTGAACCAAACATGTCTAATCCAAGCAGTATTATTGGGGCATCATATGCGAATGATATTGAAGGAGGTGATTCAAATAAGAAGAAAAAGTGTGATGCGTATTTTGAATTCAATGATATGGGTTATCTCTTCCAGAATCATGGACCTTCAAGTTCTAACCTACCTAATGAACAAGGTACAGAGTTTGATCAAGTTTACTCTGATGATCAGGTTAGTGCTTTCATTTATTTTCATGTTTGATTATTGATATTAGCTAAAATCACTAAAAAATTAAATATATTTTTTTTGTATTAAATATCCATTTTGGGAATAAGATTCAATTCTATTTTCTTCCATTCTCATTGAGATTATAATATCTAATATCCTTGTTTAAAATCTAATGGGTCCTTAGAAAATCAAGTAGTATTTAAGTGACTTTTTTCGTGTGTGTGTATATATATATAGAGAGAGAGAGATTTCTCCTTTTGTTTGAATTTTTTTCCCATAAAGTTATTTTTTATAACTAAATACTAACTTATTTTTTTAAGAAACTATTTTTGGTCACAACCCTAATCCCCTCTTGATTTTATCTTAAACCTACATATGCAGGTAGTAGCGACATCCAGTGTCCAGTTTTCAGGAACATCAAATTATCCTGATAAATCATCAATATGATACTATCAAGACAATTCATGACAACTCTCATAAGGAATCTTTGTAGTGATAAAGTAATCTTTCATATTTTTGGAGCTATTTTTCTTTTGAATGACTTAAATTTCTTGTTTGTTGGTTTTTTTTCCTGTTTGGAACTAATGGACATCATTGAATTACATGCTTGCTTTAATTTCTTGACTTAAGATTATTGTTTTGTTTAGTATCAAACCCATGAATCCTTCTATTACATAACCGTTTGGTTGACTGATACATATTATATATGGGATCAATTATTTGTAGAACTAATTATCTTGCATCTCAATTTAACATAATATTTGATGTAGCCTTAACATCTATGAGATACATTTTTTATTATTGTACTCGGATTAGCTAACATGTAAGCCTCTTGTGGCTTTTCTTCAAAAAAAATCAGTTCATTGTTTAGTTATCACATCTGCAAGTTTAAGTAATATGTACTGTCTGTGTAGTTATAACTTTTATACCAAACCAATCATTTTAATTTGTTATAACAAGTAGTGTATCCTTAGGAGCAATAAATGCTAATTTCCAATAATATATTACATGTGAGTAGTACTGAATGAAGTGATTAAAATGAAGGAAAATTGTGATGCGTATATGGATTTTAATGATATGAATTATTGTTTCAAGAATCTTAGAGTTTAGAAAAATTGAGATATTTTTTGGAAAAAATATAGTTTTTCAGAAGAATTAATATTTTTTATATAAATACTTGTTTGGAGGATGAAATTATTAATAAGGAAAAAATATTTAACATTGATAAAATAATCATAGGGTCATTTGCTTACCTACATAAAATTTAGCATCACATATATCTCTTATTTTATTGATGATATTAGCTACAAAATTAATATAACATTACAATTGAAATTGTTGTATTGTATATTTATATAGGATGTGGGATTATATTCCATCTAATTTTGGTGTCTTATATAGATTATAATTCATATCCTTATTTCGAATCAAATAACTCCTTAGCAAATCAGATAGTGTATGATAAAAAAAAATTCCAGTATTTAGGAAAAAAAAGTTGATATGCTTACATAGTTTAAATGTTGGTTAATATAGTCATATTAAGTTTACAATTGTCAGAATTGCAAAAAAAATAGCTTTTGACTCAATGTGAAAGAAGTTTGTTTTCTCCTTTTGGTGGAAATTTTTTCCATAAAAAGAACTTTTGACAGTCTAACTTACTTTTTCAAGAAAATTTTTTTCATTTTATCAAACACACTCATCATCTCCTATATATATTTACTTTAAACTTACATATGCAAATGCACAAAATGTCCAGTTTCTAGGAATAGCAAATTTTCTAATGAATCATGTGATCAAATACAGTCTAAGAGTTCATTCCGAAGACTATTATTTTCTTTAATTAAAATTGCATCTTTCATTTTTCTAGAAACTGTGTAGTTTCGCGTTTAAAATTTTTATATTACATTGTGGAAGGAGTTGGGAAAGAGAAGAAAATATTAGGAGTATCAAATGAGCGGGTTGAACTAAATTTGGCAAGTTCAAAATGAGTTGAGTCAATAATGACCCACTCAAAAATTACTTGCGTTACATATTAGCCCAACTTTAAATAGGTTGAAATGAGCTAATGACCCACCCAAACTTGACAGGTTATATGAATTACCTATATTTTTAGAGTTTAAGTTATACGCACTGTCGATGTAGAGTTATTTTACACCATCAAGTAGCATTGACCTAATATAGTAGGTTATAATCTTTTTAATTAAATAATTTTTTTCATCTTTAAACTACAATCTTTGCCTTACTTTATTTTTATTCTCTCTTAATCTCTCTCTTCTCACTTCTACAAAACCTCCATATTTCTAGTTCTCTCAAATTATGAGGATTTAATCATCCTTTTTTTTTGCCTTCATATGCCCCATGTGTATTTCACATGAAATCTTGATGTGCTCCATCTGTTATATGATAATTTTTCAATAATGATTTGACAAAATTACATGGCTTAATAATATGATTTAAGTTGGTCCTTTTCTCCAAGCCTCTATACATTCAATTTGCATGATTGATATCTATAAAGCTTTTTGAATTAGATTAACTTGAAAGGACCTTAATTAAAACTAAAAAGGACCTAAAATCAAGAAGTTTCTGGAACTTAATTATATTTTCATGATTAATAAATGATCCAAAACCTTCATAGTGATTTAGACTAAAATATTGAGAATTTGACATGAAATTATCGATAGTAAACAAATTTGGCATTCTGCACAATTTTAGTTAGAGTATAAATGTGATTCTACTTGCCTTTAATATTTTTTTTCTTTTTGTGAACTATAATTATATTTAATTAAAAAGGTAATAATCTTACTTCTACATACTTAACAAAGTTATCATGGTTAATTACCTTTTGAGATTACGTGATGGTGTGAGAAGTTTAGTACACTGATAGTGCACAAAACTTTTTAATTCATATTTTTATGGGCTAATTTTGCCACCCCTAAAAGTATTATACCTCCACCTCATTGCTCAATATAATATAAGTGTTGGTCATGTTGAGAAGGAGTCTCCATCAAATGTCTCGATTCTGGGAGCAAATAATACCCGGATACAATGTAGATGTGGTTAATAAGTTGTTAGCTAATTTGGGACACACACTAGGTGATAATGTTTCTCAAGAATCAAATGGAAATTCAAAGACTTTGGTCATTGCATCACACGTCGATTTGGGAAGCTTTGAAACTAAATAAAACTGTGAAGGCGCCACTGATTCTTGAGGGAAAAGAAATATAAATCAATTTCAAATGCAACTGAGAATTCTGGGCAGCACCTTATTTGTGGAAACGATAGTGTTACATCTGGTTCGATTAGGAAAATGAGTATCGGAAATAATTGCAAGAATTGGACTACGGTGACACACAAAATAGCAATTGGTCAACAAATTGGTTCTTAAATTCGTTCTAAGTTGGAGCACTCTGTGAAAATTTTGAGTAATCAACCTTTGGCTCCAAAGGAAATTGTTTCTCCAAAAATTTGGGGCTATAGACAGTGTAGCACTTTATCTATCATAGTAATCACTTTGAAAAAACATTCCCGACTTTAGTAAAACGTACGTAACCTTTTGTTTGAAGCTCAAATTGGAGAATTGTTTCAAGTGTTGCTTACTAGACATGAATAACTTTAAGTAAGGCATGCAGTTTACCCCAAAACTCATATTTCTAGTGATTAGGATAAATCATATAAAACCAAAAGTGGGAAAGGAGTTAAAATCCTACCACGAATTTACAGAGTATTATATTAACTCCTCAAAGTAAACAGATTGCTTTCAATATTGTGCTCTTAGGACTCTAACTCGTCAAGATGCGGTATGACACGTGAATCAGAGACACATAGTCTACAATATCTCTCCTCATGTGACTCCACTAGTAATGTTGCCTAAAATAGTATGCATCTTCACTATGCCGGGATGAATAGAGTATCTAGAATCATGGACCTTAGAAAGAATCAACTGAATCAAATTTCAAACTCTCAAAACACAAATACAACCATCAAACCTCAAAACACCATCAGAATCTAAGGTGGCTGCCCGGCCTCACCTCTGAAAACATGTTCTTGAATAGCTACCAAGACATCATCCTCCAACTGTCGACCATGAATCCACTCCAAAAGAGATGATTAAACCTAACATAGGTTAAAACCCACCTAGAATCCAAAATATCAAGTTGAATCATACTATTGGCTAAAGAATGAATGTTTGGAGCCAAAGGTCACTCCGTTGCATAAAGGAAATCTAGACTACCTATAGTCACTGCCTTCCAACTCAAGACGTCTGCTACCACATTCCCCTTGCCTAGGTGGAAAAGAATAGAGAGAACATAGCCCTTCAGAAGATCAATCCACCTCCAGTGCCTCAAATTTAGGTCATTATGGCTAATAATATACGGCAAACACATGTGATCAGTGTAGATATCACCACGGACCCATAATGATCCTCCATGTCATTTCCTATTATTGTATTTCTTTATCTACTTATAGCTTTTCTATAGCAAGCCCACGTAATTTATGACTTGTTGGGACTAAAAATTTGATCACTGGATCATTTGTTTGGTTTCTGTGCAAGTTTTTGTATTTTTGAGTTTTTAAAACTAGAGTGGTTGACTTCGATCAAAACCTGAATTAAATGGTCTTAGAATGCAATTCTGACAGTTTTGTGAGCTCCAGAATGTAGAGCTTGGTCTTGATGGACTTTTGGTGCAGATCTCGAGGCTTCTAGGCTCATTTTGATCCACCTCATAGAATTTGTCTTAAGATGAAGTTTGACGACCTCAGTTGGAAGTTTTGACATCTCAGTTAAGTTTGTAATGCCAAATTTAGTGGGATATCATAGTTTTCTTGTGTGCACGGAGTTCTGAACCATTCTCAGGCATCAAGCGAAGTTTGGTGGGACTTGGCTAAAATTTCTAGTGCATTGTCTAGTCCAACCTCTCTAGAAGCCCTAATACTTCTTAAACAGAAGTTGCTTCCAGTCTCTTTAGCAACCCTTGTTTCTCTTAAGTGGTGGTCACTGAAGTGGCTAAGGGACCACTTCAGTGGTAGCCTTCCGTTATGGCCAGGTCTTTTTAGCAGTCAGACCATCACTTTTGTGATGCCGCTTAAGCAGCCAAAGTGACCGTGTTTGTGGTGTATGCAAGTAGTTATACCCATTTTAAGTTCATTTCTCATATCTTTGGATTGAATTTTTACTCTTAGGAGCTCGTTTTAGTGGGAATCGACTTAATATTGGTGAGAGTAATTAGGGATAGTTTTGGGGTGATTGTAGGCTTGATTATCGCACATTTAATCCATAAGTTACCTTCCTTCTTCTCCTTTTTAGATTGAGTGGAAGTTTTGTTGATTGGCTTATTTCATGAACTGTCTTGCTTATTTTCCAAGTTTGGATTGTGCCTATTTTTAGGTCACAAGTTCCTTGAACTAAAAGAACCAATAGACAAAGTCAATTTCAGTATTCCCAGTAC